TTAAAATAATTTAAGTAGACTTAGTGACAAATCTTCTCTGAATGTAGAATTCAGCCATGAAGTCATCAGGTCCAGGACTTTTTTTGTGAGGAGTCTTTTTATGACTTTCTTAATTTCTTCTTTTGTGATGGATCTGTCCAAGTATTCTACATGCGTCCGTCCATGTCAATCTGGGTAGGGCATGAGTTTCAACACATTAAATTAATAATTTTTACGCCTTCATCATGGGAGGCATTTTTAAGAAACTGGCTTCCTCCCACCCCCATCCTCTGCAAATATGTAGTAATGCAGTGATATACAGGTCTGTGTCATGGCTTTGATTGAGGGTAGGTGCAAGGAGTTCTACCCACTATTGCTGTTACACCCTCTGTGCAAATGTCTACACTGTGAAAAAGGCAAATAATGTCTTAGTATTGACATAGGTAAGATTGGCAAATTTTCATGTCAAGCACAGTGAAACTTTGAGGCAAGGATTAACATTTTGTCTCATCCACTTTGGGCACACTGTTAGGGCCAGTCCTCAGAAAAAGACATCTGGTAAGTGAAGGTCAGTGACGAAAGTCACTAAATAAGACAGAATGACACAGTGCCTGTAAGAATGGGCTCAAGTATATCAGCTGTGATGAAGATAGCACACAAGACAGGGCAGGGCACCCAAGCTCTTTATAGGGCTGTACTCAGACTTAGTGATTCAATGGCACAGAATACCACCACAACCATTGTTATACAAATGGTTCTGATTTCTCAGACTCCCTCAAAGAGTATGAGGGACCATCAGGGTCTTCAAGAATTGCTGTATTAAAAGATTTTAAAGGACAAAGTGAAGGAACTCTGGTGGTGCAACTGTAAATAAGGGTTGGGGGGTGAACCCCACCCACAGCTCTACAACAGAAAGACCTCGCCATCTGCTTCTGGAAAGATTACAGTCAAGACAGCGCGATGGGACATCAGTGCTGTCACACAAGGTTGCTACAACTCGGAATCAACTCTAGAATACCCAATAATAAGGAAAGGAGGAAAATCTACTTTCCATATTTTGCTGGTAGCCTAGTGGTAAAGAGCTGTGCTAACAACCAAAAGGTACACAGTTCACAGGATAAAAATAGGCAACCTCCTTGACTATGAGTTACAGCCTCTGAAAATGAGTTGTCAGCTATGAGTTGTTGTGTCTCGACAGCACACAACCAATGTTGCTTAGAACCAATTTTAGTTATTAGACTATGAACTTCACTGCAGGTAGTCAGTCATCTCTCAGGGTCTTCAACAGGTAAAGGCTCAAAGATTCAACCCTAAATCTTTCTGAAGCATCAAGGCCAGAGATATCATTCATATACGGAAATGCTTTGAGGCTCAAAGTAGAAAGTAGAGACTTCAGATAACTAATGGACTCTCAAAGCCCTTCATTATTGAGAAGTCCAGGACAATAATGCTTATCACCACTGTCTAATTAGCAGGGTTGTTATAAAAAACTACATTCTTGATATAAACCATATGGGCACACAAGGAAGCACCTGTCAGTGGAGGACAGGGGCTCCTGAAGAAATGATAATACACATTCTGGAGTTCCCCAGGAAACTAAAAAAAAGCAACAAAGCGACTAAAAAGGCCTCTGAACTGGTATTAGTTATCACCTACAGTGTAATGAGGTTTTCAGTGATAGGAGGAGAAGGGTTGATGAGACCTCTCCTCAGGTGGAAAACTGCAGAGTCAAGATCCTAGGACTTTCTACTTGTGGCCTCTGCATAGAATCACGAAATTTAGATCAAAATGCTAAGTGAGACTGCCCACCTTTGCTAACTAGTCATGTTTGTTTGGTCCTTACTCCATCATGCATAACTGCCTACCATTACCATGAAGGAGGGCTCACTGATTAATTAGAATAACAATAAACAAAATAGAAATTATTTAACAGGAGCTCCCCTGGGTAAATAAAAATAGAGAATAGAATGATATATCTTTTCCCTTTTTCTCTGTATTGTTGTAATTGTTTTCAACCATACATATCTATTGCTTTTGTGATAGAAAACTATAATTAAAAACAAAAATTTTTAAAAGAATCCATGAAATTGACCTTAGCTATAAGAAGGGAAGAAGGAAAGTCTGATTCTATTAAAAGGTCTGTCTCAATGTGGTTTGCATATCATCAAGTCAGAACCAACGTCTAGCTGACCTCCAGCAGGTTTTCAGAGGCAGTAAATCACGAGAGGAGACTCTGAATGGAGTTTATCTTTCAGTCTGACTTCTCTAGCCCTTATTTGATGTTTCTGTGCAGATGGGCAGGACTATGCAAATAGGGCAATGCTGGCCTATCCACAGAGGGATGGCTATCTACAGTTCCACATGGAGAGTGGCCAGTCTTAACAATGTACAAGGGGCTGGCTAGTCTCACCAATAAATTGAAGAGCGCTAGTTGCAGAGACAGAAATTCTTCCCCCACTAGAAGAGAGAGAAGTCTTCTCCCAGCCAGAGAAGACAGACCTCTCCTAAGCCAGTGAAACACAGGACACACTTTAGGATGGCAGCAGCAGCACGGCTGAACTGGAGAACTCATATGAGATGGAACCTTGGGGGTGGGAGAGAGCGAGTATTCTTAGGACTAAGAACTTGGGAACACTTAGAGCCACCAGGCTCAAGGCTGAGGTGCCTGTGTGCACATCTAGGGAGCTGTCTTGACTATATTTTGTTGTTGATCTGAACTGCAACCTTTTGACTCCCCCAGTATGGTTCTGTGCAGTCTGTGAGCTATCACGTCAGATTTTGGACCCAGTCAAGCAGTAAGATGGGTGCTGAGATGAGCAGAAGGAGGCATGGGAATGTGGGGGACAATGTCTGACCTCAGGGAACTGGTTTTGTGTTACTGATGCTATGGGTGGAGGTAGTTTTACCCCCCACCCCCACCCCGAGAAGCTTGTAAAGGTCAGATATGGCACTGCCCACTGTGGCCTTTTGTAGCCACATGGCTCTTTTCACACTGTCCATCCCTCTCCCACAGAGTAGCTGGTAGATTCAAACCATGAGCCTTTGTGATTGCAATGTCACCTCTTACCACTACGCCACCAGAGGTCCTGAGGCCTGTCTTTTTCTTGTTGTGTACTGTAGAGTCAGACTGACCCATAGCTGACCCTCCAGCAAGTTTTCAAAGGTAGTAAATTGCACAGGAGGAGAGTGGTAATCCTTTTCCACAAAGCTGCTGGTGGATTCAAATTACACATTTTTAGATTGGCACACGATTCCCTCCTACAGGGTAAGGCAGAGTTGAAGACAGCTGTTCGTAGGGTCCACTATTAGTTGTACTAGACTCAACAGCATCTAACAACAAAGCTCCCAGAGCTCCCTGAGGCCAGTCTGGGGTGAAGAAAAGGCCTAAGGCAAAAAAAAGGTGAAAGCAGCATTCACAAGGGATTCTTAGAGGTGAGTATGACCGGAAGGGGAGAAATACCCACACTGTGAGGCTGTTTGTCCCTTCCCTACAATTAAGGCTGGGGATGTGTGACCACAGGGTCCAGTCCTGTGATTAGCACAGAGGCAGCCATGGTGAGAAGAACATTGTTACCAGAAGACCATAGGCCCAGGATCTATTCTAGGGCATGTACTTACCCTCATCTCATAGAACTGGGACAAGGATAAAAGGCTATTATGCAAGTAACTTAATGTGCTCAATAAATTACAAGCCACAATTACTTTCTTTGACTTTGTTCTTTTTAATGGCCATAAAAATAGTGCTAAGAGACAAAGTTTCTTCCAATGGAAGTAGTCTTTTTCTTTCTAAGAATTTATTTTATTGCTGTTATTATTACAGACCATGCACCAATTCAACAATCTCTACATGCACAATTCACTGATACGGTTAGAGTGTGTAATCATTTTCATCCTCCATTCCTAAACTGTTCCTCCTCCATTAACATAAAGTCATTGTCCTCTAAGCCTCTGGTCTAATCTTTCTAGATGCTGTTGTCAACTTGATCTTATATAGCCAGGTCTTAAAAAAGTACAATGCTCACAAGTTAAGCTATTATTTGGCTTTAAGAAGACAACAGGAGATATCTTTGGTTTAAAGATTATTTCAAAGTCACAGTTTCAGGGAGTCATCCAATAGGGGGGAGTCATGTTGAGTAAGTTAAACTTAACTTCAACTGTTCTTTTTTAACAGGAATGGCTTCATGGATCATCACTTAAATCCAAATAACAGATACTCCCCCAAACATTTTTTTTTCTTTCTCACCGATTCTGAAAGGACTTTCCAGCAATATTGTCTCTATAGGAATCAAACAAAACGTGGTATTGATCCCGGCTCCATTCCAGAACCACCTATTAAAAAAAAAAGAAGAAAAAAACCTCAATATTTTCTTACATCAAAAACTATTAAGAGTATATAATTTATACTTTATTTCATTAGGAATGGCTAAAGAAACAGTAGCTAAAATTCATTAATCCACTCAGTGCCTAGAGATAAAGATGCTACAGTTCCTGTCTAGGCAGCGCCCCCCCCCCCCCCCCAAAAAAAGTCTTCCTGTGCTGGTGAAGGGGTGGAGAAATCAACGAGGTTTTAGAGGATGTGATATTTAAATGGGCTCTTCCTGGATCCTAAAGAATGTGGAGTTCACCAGTTCAGAAGGAAGGATCAACGCCAAGCAATAGGAAGCGCATGTTCAAAGCTTAAAAAGCCATACTGTTTAGTGGCAATTGCGTAGTAGGTTATGGTGACAGCACAGAGAGACAGACAAGCAGGGATGGAGGAAGCAGGGAAGGGAAACTGGGCTTGGACTCAGAAGCGGTTCATGAGGAAGCTCTGAAGAGCTTTTAAGGAAGCTCCACAATTTCTGTAAGGTTTGGGGAAGACTTCTCACAGCCTGGGGAGACATGATCGGCAACAGAAGAGGCTGACCAGATATGAGGGATAAAAACCGTGTGGTTTTAGCTCATGATCTCGCTGACTAAGAGAAAAACTGATAGGCCCTCCCTCGTGACTGCACCCCAAATCTACAACCCTGTCCACCAGCCACCCCAACTTTTCTTCACTTCTCTCCCCTTCTCTCCCACAGAGGAAAGGTCTCCTTCCTCACAGACATCCAATCTCCTCAGCTCTCAGCACAAGTCCTTGCCTCTCCTCTTTCCCTCTCCCACTGGATTATTCCCATCAACATGCAAGCACCTTCCAGTCAAGGCACGCGGCATTTTACTGCTTCTGTCCTGTGTCTTTTGGTTGTTGGTTTTTTTAAAAACAAACAAGCTAAAGCTGTGTGTCAAGTCTCAGTTGGCCAAGGCTGTCGGAGTCATTTTTCTAATGGCATGTGTTAACTTCGTGCCTGTGTCCCATCTGGCTAGTCCTCAGTTTTCACTCTTTCATAGCCACTGCACGGTGTTAACAAAGCTTTTATATATATATGAGAAAACAAAGGGAAAATTCATATGCCTCATCTTACTGGGCTCCTTGCTTTATCGTGGTGGTCTGGGGCAGAGCCCGCAGCACCCGAGGAAAGCTTCTATCGTGGAAAGTCTTCTTCGCACCCAATTCTCCCAGTTCTCTATCCCTTTCAAGGTGACATTTCGTTAAGAAGACATCTCCTACTTTCCTACTTTTACCCTTTCAACTCACTGCTGTCAACTCACAGCTCACTCTCTACTGGGATTCCGAGACTGTAGATCGCCTGGGAGGAGACTGACCATCCTTCTCCTGAGGAGGGCTGGTGGATTTGAACCACCAGAGAAGCATGGCCGCCGAGAGAGTAGTGCAACTCCCTATGGACTACACCTCAGAGTTGCCTTTACACCTTTTAGCTCGTGCCAGTATCCTTCTGCCCTCACCACTGCAACAGAGTCTCTATAACGTCACATCCAGTGGCATTTTCCTGACGGCTATCTTACTCGGTTCTTTGTAGTTAGCCAATTTCTCCCTCTTTTTAAAAAAAATGTACTGGCTTGCTTTTTTGAAACACTCACCCTGCTTTCATCCTACCACGCTGTGGTTCATCTTCAGCCTCCTGGACCAGGTCGTCCTCTTCAGCCTGACCTTGATGCGTGTTCTTTCATTCCATCCCTTGCCCCGTAATGCTTTCCTCCCAGGAAAACACCCAGTTTCTTCCACCTGCCTATCCCACAACCTCGGAGATGTTGTCCTGCTACACACAGATGTCTGTGGGAGTTCCAGTCATTTAGTATGCATTTTAGCCATCAGGAATGACAAAAAGGAAAAGACGCGGCTCCTTTATTTTATTATTTTGTGTGTGTACCAACAAACTGGATCTGACTGGTACAGAAGGAGATTGCCCCTCCTTCTCCAGCAGAGCATCTGGTGGATTTGAACAGCGTACCTCTGGGACTGCAGTGCAGCTTCTTACCACTAGGCCACCAGAGCTCCCTGACGTGGCTCCTTTTAAGACTTCTTGGAAGCAGCACCTATCACATGTTTTCATGGGCCAGACTTGGGCCTATGGTTACATGACCAGAAGAGTGGCCAGGTGGACCCATGCCAGGCCATACTTGCTTATTTCTTCTCACAGAATTCAGGCCCTTTGTAATCTGTCTCTGTCTACCTTTTCCAATGGGACATCACCGGAATGGTTCATAAACACTACAAACTAAAGTAACACACTTTTCCATCCATGTATTTATATAAGAAAATCTACTGACTGTGTAACGGCCATTCGTAAGAAGCTGTGAAGCAATCTCAAAGACACATGTTTTGAATTTACCAACTGCTCTGGGAGGAGGAAGGGTGATCTCCTCCTCTGTAATTTACTCACTGCCTCTGAAAACCCACTGGAGGGTCAGCCATGTGTCGGTTCTGACTTGACAACCAACTACAAAGCAGCCCTGGTGACATGGGGCATTACTGGTTGTGATATTAACCTACATACACGTCAGTGATGTGAATCTACCAGCTGCTTAAAGTGGCGGTTTACCCCCACCAAGATTTACAGCCTTAAAAACCCTATGGTCAGAACTGAGTCAGTGGTAGCAGGTGAGTTTAAGAAGAGTTCTCTCCCTGGCTTCAAGAAGCTTTACTGATTCTTTTTTAAGCAGGTATTTATTACCAGCTTCAGTTGCACTCATGAAAGAGGAACTGACCCTTCGGAAAAGATGCAGAAAAGTCTTTCCCGAAGCAACACTGTTTGCCCAGAGTCTCAAAGGATAAACAGAAGTCTATCAGCAGAATGGGGAGTATGTTAGAGGGATCTGCGGCCAGACTGGACGGGAGTTAAGGAAAGGAGGAAAACCAAGGGTTACTGCAGCTTTTTGGTTTGAAGTATAAATTAAATGGGTGATAAAACCACGGCAACGGCCTTTAGTCAATTTCAACTCCTAGTGCCCTCGAAAACGCCCCACAGGATTTCCAGGGCTGCACTCTTTCCAGAGGTGAACTGCCACAGCTTTCTTCTGCAGAGCAGTTAGTAGGTTCGAACCGTGAATGTTCTGGGTAACAGTCAAGTGCCTTTAACAGCTGTGCCAGCAGAGATCCTAAATGGATGATGGAGCCATCTAATGATACAGGAGGAACTGGGGTTGTGGGAATGAGAGCTGATAAGATCCAAGGGTTTCATTAGGTACATAGTCACAGTAAATTTGAAACGAAACAGTATGTCCACAACTGGCCTCTCTAACTAGACTGTCAGTTCCCGGAATAAAGGGGGCGGACTAGACCTCGGCTGACACACACAGCACCAAACTGGATGGCAGGCACATGGTTAGAACTGCCATCTGTTTGCAAAATATAAAACCAGTTTCTATTTTAAATAATTTAAAGCCAATAATACAACTGTATGAATTTTGGAGGTTCCGGATGATGCAGTGAAAAAACATTTGGCAGCTAACCCAAAAGGTAAGTTGTTCGAACACACTCAGCTTTCTCCTTGAGATAAAGATCTGTTAATCGGCATCTCTGAAGATTCTGGCTAAGAAAACCCTATGACTTCTCTGTCACATGGGGCCTCTAGAAGTTAAAAATCAACTGGATGGCGTCCAGCAACCACAGACTCAAATTACTGGGTACATACACATGCGACTCTCCGCTAGCAACTCTGTAATTTGTGAAAGAACAACTAGGATACCTCTTAAAGCAAATCATGGAAAATAAGCTCAACAAATCACTTCCACGAGGATGGCTAAAAACAAACACACACCCCAACATAAAATAACAAATGTTGGAAAGTGTATGGAGAAACCTTTCTCTGCTACAAGGGAGGACGCAAAATAACATATAACTGTTGTGGGAAATAGTGCCGTAGTTCCTTAAAAAACTAAAATTGGAACTTTCATATGATTCATCAATTCCACTCCAAGGCATATACCAAAAAATAAACATACAAACAAACATGACAAGAGAGTCTCAGATGATGGTATACCAATGTGCACTGAAACTCTATTCACAGTAGTTGAAATGTAGAAAAACCTTCTTAAATGCCCATCAACAGAAAAATGAATAAACAGAATGTAATGGATACACATACAAAAAACTACTACTTGGTCAGTAGAAGAAACAAAGTCTTGGGATCGCCTAGAATAAGAATAATAAAGTTTGAAGACATTATACTAAGCGAAAGTTCAGTCACAAAAGGACAAATGTAACATGATCTCACTTATATAAAAAGAAAAGAAAAGAGAAATGTACAGAGATCAAAATGTATTAGCAGTGATGCAAGGGTGGGGAGTGAGAGTAAACAGCGATAGGGAAATCACATTGAATAAAGGAGGTAGGAATGTACAATAATTACTGTAGTATCTGTAAAAACGTAGTACACTTGTAAAGCTGAACTGAGAAAATGTATGTGATTATATATATGCTTATATTTACATAATTATATATGTTTATATTTACATAATTATGTATGTTTATATTTACATAATTATATATGTTTATATTTACACACACACACAGACACAGAGAGAGGGAAGAGGGAGAGAAAGAAGAGAAGAAAGGGGAGAGGGGGAAGGAGGGGCGAAGAGGGGGAGGGGGGAAGAGATGGGGGGGGGAGAAGCTGCAGAAGCTACTGACATATAACCCAAACCAGCAAACCATTTGATTTCTTGGTTTGGGGGTTTATGGCTAGGATTACAAGGGACATACTAGTTAATTACCCTAATAAAGTATGTGGTGTTTCTGTTCTACCTCTCAGTCCCCTAGAGATTGCCTGGGACCTTAAAAACCTGTAAGTGGCCATCCAAAGTACAACTGGTCTCTATGTGCCTTGAGCTACAGAAAGAAAATAAAAAGTCACATCTACTGTTCTCCAGTAGATTCATGGAAACCATCCATCAATGCTTCCGAGACTGTAATTCTTTCTGAGAGGAAACTGCCTGTCTCCCACAGA